CTTGCATTCCATAGTTTGTCTTTTCTTTGGCAGAGGTATCTATGGGGAAGAAGGACTTACCAGCCAAAGCATTGCTGTTTCTATTGAGAAAAGGTTAGTGAAAGTACATGTCTCCTCCATTGTGCCATAAGGAGACAAGACATGGGGTCATCCTGACCTCCTGTACATCAGAGTTTCTCTGCTGCACATCCTTTACTGAAAATGTTTTGTCTCCAGCTCTGGCAAGCTTCATCCCAGGTACTTTCATCTTCATCTTCCTTGCTGATTTTAATATTCTTGGAGTGAGTCGGGGAGAGACAGCTTTTAGGTATCTAACGTTGAAGACCAGGACCATGAATTGAATCCAGCACTGAGTGGCTGAATGCTGAGTAATGCTGTGATGTTTTCTTGTCTACTGTTCTGCTTAGGAGACAAGATGCTGCATTTTGAGCCACACTCAACTACTAGAAGCCTCCCAGTGTCAGTGCCAGGGAGAGAACATGGCTGTAGTACAGCCTTGAATAACAAAGATGTGGATCATTGTGGCTAGGTCTACATCTGTGAGGAACAGGTTCACTCTACTTGTCCACTGCAGAAGGGAATAGATATTTCTAGCCACTGCTGAAGCCTGGCATTTCAGAAGTGGAGACAAGTCCAGTTATAACTCCTAAACTGTACATGTCCCTTACATTCAATAGGCAGATGCCATCAGCTAATGGGAGTGCTCACGGATTCTGCTAAATATCTGAACTGTGGGGTACAGTGGCAGAATTCCCATATTGGTAGCTCTCTGACAGCTGAAAGCGGAAAGCAATGTGGTGGTGGATCTTTTAAAGGTCTGCTCTAGCTTACTTGAATCAGGCAGCTTCTTCAAAGGACACCTACTAGCTTTTCCCTATTCCTATGGCAACTAATACCCTATATGCAGCAACACAAGTGAAGCAGCACCCCCTCCATTGCTGACTTCTTCTGCTTGCTGCTTGGCAGCAGACAAGGCATGAAGAACATTGTCCAGTCCACTGTCCAGCCCTGGATCCACTCTGCCAGCTAAGGATCACATTTATATCAGGAATAAGGATCTCAGTATCTTTATCTGCTTCATGAGGGTCAAAAGATGACTTTGCAGACCTTGGCCTTCAGCTCGTCAGTTTCAGGCCCTCACATAGGTACCATATCAGCATGGGTACACCAGTCAGTCTGTCCCCTGACTGGCTTGCCCTTTCGCCGTTCAAGATTTTCAAAAGTGACTAGAGATTTTGAGTGTCACAATTTCTGGGTGCCCAACTGAAAGCAACTTAAAGGGGCCTGTTTTCAGAAAGCACTGATTTCCCACCCTCTGAAAATCAGATCCCTTTAAGGTGGTCTCCAGTTGGGCACCAAAAAATGGCATAGAAAATACTAGTCACTTTGAAAATCTTGGTTAGCATGTGATTTGTTCACCTTTGGGGATAGTCAACTGGTCATTGCACTTCTTCAGCCTAGTTTCCCATGTATTTTTTTTATTGATGCACATTTTTTGCATGATTGGGCTCCACAATAGAAGAAACAGCTAGAGAGAAAGAGAATAGAATAGAATTTTGTTTTATATCGCGCCTTTCTTATGGGAAATGTACTAATGAGCTTTATAAGGCAACAAATACCATAAGATCCCGGCAGTATAGCAAGTGTATAAAGCCAGTGCAGTAACCATGCATTTAAACATGTGATGTGTATGTGTGAAAGACATTTTCAGAAGTTGCAAAGATCTCTTAGTGTACAGAGAAGAGCAGAACAGAATGCGGATTGATTTAAATCTCTTCCAAGAGGTGGTCATGCTAACATCACAGTATATTGAGTGTAAAGCTTTATCCTCAGATGATACGTGAACTCACAAGGGAGTGTGGAGTGGAGTAACGTATGTGTGTTATAACAGCCTTCTTATGCCACTAGCTTTTTGGCTAAAGGACAATGACGGAAATGGCTGCTAAATATATTTCAGTTAATGGGGCTATATGGAAATTCAAGCAATGAGCCAGAATCAGATATCTCCCCCCCCCTCCCAGATCAGAGCAGCCCTGAATTGCGGTGGGGTTGAGATCTGGATTCAGACTCTGTCAGCCTCATCTCTGTTGAATTCAGTCAGTTAAATTACTGAGAGAGCAGCATTTTATCATGGCTGTATGATTTTCATTCTTTCCCAGTTGCCAGAATATATCTATGCAAATTAATGAACTGTTTGTTGTTAACTGCACATTGAAGAGATTTACAAGGTCCAACAAAATTTGTTTTAGGTCAGCAGTTTAATAAAGCTCCATAATGAATATGGTCTTAACTCAGAGGATGAATGGCTTTACTGGTGCACTGGGAAACATTTGGACAGCGATTTGTGATTTACTGACAAGCTCTGCTGTAGGAAGCTACAAAACAGCATTTCAGCAGAAGAAAGTCATGAACGTACGGAAGCGAGAGTGAAACTAAGCAACTTTTTTTCATTTTTTTTTACCAGTTTGCAGGCAGTTCCCAGTTCACTACTTTCACCGAATAATAGCATTGGGTCTTGCCCTTGCAACACTGTGCAGGGAGTAAGGAGGCTTATTTAGCCCCATCCCATCCCTTTCACTTTTGTAGACTGACTGCATGGGGGGAAGTGAGGGGCTGCAGAGAGAGAGACAGGATGGCCCAGTTGCGGGGTTCTAGCTTAGGATGTGGGGCAACCCGCTTTCAACTCCCAGCTCCACCATAAACTTCCTGTGTGACTTGGCGCGAGTCACTTGGGGCTAGACCCAGAAAAGGTAGTTAAGCTCAGCAAGGTGATACTTAACTTCAGCCACCCTGCCACCTCCTGGAATCCTCAACCTCGAGTTCGGCACCCAGACGCCCCCACTGAGATGCCTGGGGAGAATTAGGAGCCTTAACAATGGGATGCACAGAAGCCAGTGTGCTGAGCAGGGCGCTGCCTAAGTTAGGCAATGGTAAATGCCAAGGAGAGGAGTGTGACCTATGCCCCACCCCCACCCCCTGGTCTGGAGGGGGTGCCTTCCTCTGCTCAGGAGTCATAGCTGTGAAACCTTTCCTGGAATTAGGTGCCTAAGCCAGATCAGTCCTTTCTCAAGAAACATTGAGAAGGAGGAGTCCCCTTATACTCAGTAGCCCAGTGGTTAGTGTACTCACGCAAGATGTGGGAGATCAGGGTGCAAGTACCCATGCTGTCGCATTGGGAGCAGAGTCTTCCTCCTCCCAGGTGAGTGCCCTAACCACAGAGCTATAGGGTTTGCTGGGAGTGGGTCTCTTTCTATCTCTCAATAGTCATTGGGTCAGAAAGAGGGTGAGAATGACACTCTGGCCTAGTGGTTAGTGCACTCTCCTGGGAGACCCAGGTTCCAGTCTCTGCTCCAATGAATAGTTAAGTATTTTATACAAAGTGGGACAGCTTCCACAGGAGCGAATGAATCTAGCATTGAATGAAAGGAATTTCCTAGTGACTGGACAGGTGCCTTAGAAACCATGAATTCACCTGGAAGGAACTGATGATTTCAGGAGAGAGTTGAAGGATTAAATTATTAGGACAAGAGAACTTTCTTCTAACTCTTCGATGCTTTCCTCCTAGGTTAAGCCTCAGGCAGTGTTCACTACCATAGCCTATGTTACACCTACTCTATAGATAAACAGAAGATTTCCATTCCCCAGGCTAACTACCCATATTTTAAAATGTTTAAAGTAGATGATGAAAAGATGGCAATTTTGTTTTCTGTACTTCTGTAGTAGAAATTACTTCAGGGAGCGAGGAATAAGCAGCCAGGCTGTGTCTATCTCACTCTTCAGCCACCAGCAACAGCCTGACTTTGATGAGCAATTTGTTCGGTGTATGATGATAAAATCTGGTTGCTCAGAATTGTAATATGTTTCTAATTGTTTTTTTAATTGCAGCATCTCATTAAATTACTTCTCTGGTTAAGCAGTTTATTTACAGTCTTGCTTTTCTTAAAGGAAAAGAGGAGAAGAGTCTGCAACAGGATTCTTTTGTGCCCTCTCCAAAGAAAGAACTACAATCAATCAATCACCCTTTAGGGATAGTGATGGTGATTTCTATCCATGAGAAAAATCTCTGTATGAGAGAATTCTTTGTACGTTACAATACAAAGCTGACATTCTTAAAATACAACCTTTTATGCCATGTTTATCTTAATTCAGAGAGAAACAAAGCATAAACTACATCATTTTCTTATTTATTTCCAATTTTTCTCTAATATAGGAAATTTCGCATATACATATGTGTTTGTTTCTGTACATATACATAGGAGTATATTATAACGGCATATAAAAGTTCATGCGTTTTCTAGTTTCAGCAGGCAATGTTAAATATTGTGCTCATTAAAATCTGCACTGGAGTTTATGAACAATATAAAATGGTGCGTAATACTAAAAAAGACTCAAACCCCAAGAAAATCAAAATGTATCCTCATTCTACACTCCTTATTCAGATGAAACTCCCATTGAAATCAACTGTGCACCACAAATTGCAACATTATTTACCGTGGGCACAACTAAAATGTCAACATTTATCAGTGGTTACTGTACCACACTGGATTATCCCAGATACACTGTCACAGTTATCTCCTCTACCAGCAGAATGAAATATTGTGATATCTCAGCTATCGAGTCTGGTAACTATTGGTAAATAGTGACTTTTAAATGGTGAGCACTGTTTGTCTGATATAGTTTTGTATAATGTAAATCACTGACATTTTTATTGGAAATGATCTAGGCTCAGACGTTCTTTGGAGAAGTCATGGCAAATGTCCGTCCACTTCATTGTGTTTGTTGCTTGATGAAAAGACTAGAGGGGCCTAATCAAAACAAGAATTACACTCACCATCTGAAGCCAAAGATCTATGGTTAAGTTATGAATAAACCTTGTGGGCCTGGTCAAGATTCATAGTCAACTTAAATGTGACACTTCTATACTGCAAGATATTGTAGATGGAGACACAGTATGTGAAGAGATAAGCCATTCGACTTCATCTTCTTTGTCCTATTTGCAGGTACAGAAATGAACGTGAATATCAGCAGATGCTAAAAGAGACCCTTGAACGCCTTAATAAGGTGAGCCTGTTACAGTAGAAAGTGTGTTGTTTGCATCAGCTGCTTCCTTTCATTTCATTTACTAGACAAAATTGCTTTGATGTCCATTCAGTTTGGTTCAATTAATTTTTAAGCAGTTATTTTAGATCTGATGGAATTTATTTTGGTAATATTATATAATATTACCTTTTCTCCCATAGTCACACTTATTGGTGCCCCCACAAATCATGAAAGGATTGTTCCCATCCTCTCTTCTATTTCTGGCCATAAGCTATTAGTGTGTGCAGGTAACTTCACTGTCAATAGCATTAAGAAATCAGAATCTAGGATAGTGTGAGAATTTGGGACCTTTCCTCATTCTCCAGTCCTGAGTGATTTCTTTTCATCCTGTAAACTCTGAAGGGGAGCCCTTCGGTACAGATTTTCAAAGGTTGATTTCAATGTGAATTAGGCACCTAACCTGCTTAGGCCCTTATGAGAATGCCATTAGGTGACTATCTGCATCTTTAGGCACTTACATACCTTTGAAAATCTGGCCCTTAGATTCTGATCCTAAACATACTGCAGTCTGTGGGAATAGGTTTTGGATTAGGCCCTTAGAGAGAGACCTATCTGATCACTAACTGGACTTAATGCATGCATGCATGTTTCCTGCATGTCCCTAGACCCATGGAATATAAACTTTGTAACTGATCCAGTAACATGGGTCCCTTTAAGTTACAGTTAGGTGCATTAGTAAGTGTTTAGCTGGATTCGGGCTATTAAGCACGATTCTGAGTTTACTGAAGTAAATGGGAGTTTTGCCTGAGAACGGAATTCAGGACCAGGTCGATAGAACAGACGATGGCTCCACTGTTTTACAGTTGGAAACATTCATTGTCGGTAGGGTTCCTTAATATCAAGCCAGATATAGTCACAAATCAATAAATAAGAGAAATGAAAGCCCAAGAGAACAGATTTTAAACTAATTTCCTCTACAGATGGGTGATGTTTCTTGTGCAGTCCCTCATTTGCCTGGGAGTTTTTAAGCCCTTGACAGACCTTTATTGCAAGCTACACATCTTGTAAGGATCCTTTCACTAAGAATTGCCCTGCAAAGCATTCCCACTGTATATCTCTTGCTGTTGTGTGCCTCTGGCCACCTGCGGGAGAGGTCTACTGATATGATGATAATGATGTGGAAAAGCGGAGCAAAGAAAGTTACATCTAAATATGAATATGTATCATTTTGGCTATAAGGTGGAGAGAAATAAAAATGACTGTTCTGGTTGCTGTAAACTGCCACTGTCTGCATGGTTGAAGCACCATACCAATGAGCTCATTAAGAAAAGAGCTCCGGGCCAGAGGCAAGCAAAGTGATCTTAGAAAAAGGGCTGTTTTCCCTAATCATTGTTTTGTTCTTTTTGCATGTATTGACCACTAATAGCTGAAAGCCAATGCTGTCACATCAGTGTAATCTGTAAAGTCAGGTGTGTTTAAAAAAAAAAAAAAGACCCAAAATGGCCGAGAACTTAAAAATTGGATAACAGACCACAGATCCCAGTGGCGATTGAACCTGGTGATATTCTAAACAAAAATTGCTCACAGCCATGCTTGTAGCTGTTTCCATCACTTCACACTGACTCAACAAACCTTCTAGGGTTCAGAGTGACACACAGACAGAATGAGAATCCTGGAATGTTGTTATATAGATTAGCAGTTCTTCTTACTATGGAAGGGATCTCACTTAACAGAGATACCATCTTTATGTGTAGTGTCATGTTTTTTAAACAGTCAGCTCAATGATCAAAGAAATCCCTTTAATCTGATGTATTGTAATTATTGAACTCTTGGTCAGAGAAAACTGCATGAGTCTCTCCACTCACGGGTTTGTCAGTTCTTTGTCAGTCCTGTTATGACAGTCTGGGAGCCTCAAGGAGATTATCTGGCTTTGAGGATTAAAACTGTATCCTATCCTGCAGGAAAAAGTCAAATCCATTAAACAACACCAAGTTCCTGTTATCAAAAAAAAATAGACGTTTCATTCCTCAATTCCTGCAGATTAAGAGGATTTTAAAGGGCCTGATCTCTGGCATACCTTGAATACTGTTGTAATCAGAAGCCTTGAGCAGAGGCTTACCTTTAAGGAGGTGAACAACCCACTGATGGAAGCTTGATTTTGGTTTTGGAGTGCAGGTGGGTCAATACCTCTGGAAGGCCATAACACAGTTCCCTATCTTGGCCCTGTACCAGTGTTGTCCTGTTTCCATGTCAAAGAATAATCCCCGGTCCTCAAACTGTGCTAGACAATCATGAGCCTAAGATGTGGGACCCAAATGTAGGCAGAATGCTGAAGCTATTCTGTAAATCGTACAGTTTAGCCAAATGGTGATAAAATGAACATAAGACTATTAAAGAAAAACACAGAAAATAGCAGATGAATATTACAAAGAGTTAGTGCCAAGCTCCCTAGTTCATATCACGGAGATAACAAATGTCTTTCATTTGTGAAGCAGTTTTTACAGTGCCTCAAAATATGTTAGTGGTGAACAGCATAATGACTTGAGCTGGGATTTATAAAGTACCATTCAAATTCAGTGGGAGTTGGGTGCCTAAACCTAGTGCCGTGGTGAAATCCTGGCCCCATTGAAGTCAATGGGAGTTTTCCCATTGATTGAGGTGGAGCCAGGATTTCACGCCTGGTATTTAACGGCAAAGGGCCAGAGTCAGCCCGACTCTTTTGCAGGTTCTCAGTGACGGGGAGGCCACAAGCAGCTTTGTTGCCACTTGTCTGATCCTGACTTGAGACATGCAAAATTCCAGTTCCTGCATTTAAGCAAGCACAGGGACTCCCAGCTTACTCCCCTAGGGACAGGGAGAAGATGGCCTATCGCTACCCGTCTCCTAGAGCTGCCAGTGGATCCATCTGACTGCACAGTAGGCAGTAAAATGCATCCTAAACAGGGGTATAGTAGAGTGCATGCAGCTCAGCACCTGCGGGAACTCTAGTGGTGAGAATGCTTCCAGTGCTCCCTCTGGGACGGTGTGATTCTGCACCAAGTCCAGCTGTCGGACTGAGCCTGAATTACTAGTGCTGTTTCTAAAGAGGTTAAAATGTAACATTTCCTGGCAGCTTTGTTTCCTGGATTCTTCTGTCTTCAACTACCGTCCGACACTTAAACATTTCTTACTGGAAACAGCTAACAAGCTAGAATAGCACCTCCGTACCTCACAAGGGTGCTGTAAGGATAAATACATTAAAGATTATAGAGCACTCAGATATTCCAGTAATGGGGGGCCAAACGGGGCAACTGATAGATTCAAAAATTCTGAAGTTTCTTGCTCTAACCAGTTTCTTCTGTATCCTTTATCCCCTAGAGAAAAAATAAGTGACTGTGTTTTCCCCATTCCCAGACTTGCCCCTGGAAACAGTAGACATGATTAGATGGGAACTTGCTCTCAAGGGACATCATATGCAATGCCATTTAGGCCATTCATACTAACTCAGTGGCTTATGACATTATGATGCAACTGTACTATACTTATAGTACTAGCTTCAACACTACTTAGACTCTATTGGAGAGGAGGGGAGGTTCTGCTATCCAGCCTGAATTTATTTGTTCTATAAACTATTCAAGCTAATGTTTAAGCTGAGCCTGAGTAGACATTTATCAAAAGACAGTCAATTAGCAGCCCTTTTTCTCCATCGATTTTTCTTTCAATGCTATGCTATGCTAAGGCTATGTCTACACCGCAGAGTTTTGTCACCAAAAGTTATGCCATTGTAATTAAAGAGCTTTAATTAAACCAGGGTTGCATGTCCACACTATGCTCCGTGTGTTGGCAGAGCGCATCCGCACTAGCAGCTCTTGCATTGACACAGAGAGCGGTGCACTGTGGTAGCTATCCCACTGTGCACCTGGCTGCAGGGTGCGTTGAGAAGGGTTTGCAATGCTTCATGGGGCAGGTACAGCGTCACATGATGCAGATTTCTCAATCCCATTATTCCATGGGCATCCTAGTAGATTGCCAGCTGCTTTTCAACTGAAGTAGGTGGGGGAAGGGGAAGAGTGTGTGACAGGGAGCGTGGGGGGGGAGACAGAGACAGAGTGTGTGTTGGGGGAGAGTGTGTGTCCGCCC